TGCGCCTCTGCGCTGGTCTGCTGCCTGCGCGGGGTGTGAGAGGGAAATGCGAAAAATCAGAGTATTTTCCAGTTCTCCTAGCTAATGTTAGAGATGAGGGAAGAAATGATTTCGGGAGCTGAAGGATGCACCTGCAAGAGCTCAAGGTGCTTGTGTTGCACTGTGTGCTTGGGGTGATTTCTCTGATGCTTCGTTAAGGGTTGCTGTAGGGTAGGTGAAAAGAAGGCAAAAAGCATGTAATGTTAGCACAAACGTAATTGCAAGTGTTAACCAAATATCACAGAGCAGCAACTTCTTCGGGCACCCCATGCTCTCTCCACCTTGTTTGGCTTCCTTCACTGAAAGCTGCACTCACTGATCAATTGGTGCAGAGCTGCCTCAGTCTGGGGGGACCATCCTCTAAAGTCGCGGCACCAACAATGGACTGTAAATGTTTGCGTTTGCAAGCCAGCCTCTTGATTTCTCCGTTAGTACATGTAACCTCTGTTGATGTTATCGATGCTCTTTTCCTAGAATCCCGTGGATGCATTTGAAATCTCTGTGCTTTCCATTAACATGTCATTTTCCTTTCCCGATAACTCCCAACGCATTGTTAAAATCAGAGGATCGAACGGGCATTTAGTTATATTATGCTTTGCTTTTACAAGTGCTTTCGTCTCCTGTGGAGGTAAACACAGTATATTTGCAGTAATGAAAAGGAAAATAGCTTCCTAAATGCCCCACAGCTCATAAAAGTTGATACCACTCACACAACCACTGCTATTTTCCTCTGTTCTCGGCAGCTGTTATTTTGTGCATGTGCAGCACGTGCAACACTGCTGTGTTTAATGTCACAGACACAAGGTGGTGATAATGCTCTGCAGCAGGATTCGCAGCCTTTCTGGTACCATCAGCTGGCAACATCCCATAGCCAAAATAGTCACCAACAGTAAATGGCAGCAGCTGGATAGGACACAAGCGTCTTGTGACGCTGAAAGGTTTTCTGTAGTATTCATATGCCCTGCTTATGTCTTGGCTCTGGTGGTCTTGATACCATGCTTAGTCAGTCATTTATCCTAAAAATAAAGAGCATGTCAGTGGTATCTTGCTCCATGTTAGTAGTTTTATATATCATGCACCAGCCCCTGTGCACAAGTAACATGGGGTTACTAGTGCTGTTACGGGTTTTGTGATCATGACCATGACACATACCTGTGTAGGCACACTGAACAGGGGGGCTGTGGTGTAACCTGTAGGAGTGAAGCATCTCCCCTCCTGATGGGGAAGAAGACATTTCTGCTGTGTTTTGCTCCTAAGCACCTTCTGTACAATCTTCCCCTCTCCTGCTACACTGAGAGGTACTTTCTCCAAATTAGGGTGTGAAGAATAGTGCAGTCCATGCACCACAGACTTTTTTATCAGTGCTAAGGTTTCTTTACATTATACTGGTATCTGCTCCAGGACCTGATGCTAGTAGTTTCATCTTCAGATGGCATACTGTTGACCCAGCAGCACTGATGATTGTCTGCCTTTGGTTTCTTTCCCACCTTTAGGCACTTTACTGAGCCCTGATATGCCCTTGACCTGGCCTATAGGGGCCTACAGGCATCCGCTTTTGACCTGACTTTAAGTAACATCCCTCCAGTTTGGACTTTTGTGTTTTAAGATACTGCCACCGTACCTTCTCAAAGTGGTTTTCTGCGGGGAATTTAAGTCTTGGTGTTGGACCTCAACACTTAAGCTCCATCCTTAAAGGTATCAGGTGTCCACCAGTAATGGACTTGGAAAGCAGAAGGGGAAACAACTTCATTTTCATTTAAGACCCTGATCAGATGCCTGTCAGTGTCAGAGGATGCTGTTCTGCCTGCAGCCTTTCATCTAATTTAAAGCCCAGTTTGTTCTTTCTCCTTGTCCAGAGGCCTGAGGATGGTACCACACACACCAACCACTGTGTCTGGACATGCTGGGATGCCAGCTGCGTGACATCTCCATGACAGACAGGGCCTTGGCCAGTATCACATACCTGTTGAGTCCCATCAGGTAAACACCACCTTAACAGCAGCATCTTCATACAAAACCTTTATCTATCTTGGAAATACCTCTGTCACTAGAAAAAAATATCTCCATCCTTTGGTTTGCATTAGTTTATCAATATATAAACATATAATCCACCTGAGACCAGGTCTAGGGATCCTGCTTTCTTTGATGTTACAGTGGTCAAAATTCCTCTTCCTAGGCTTTAGTTATTGCCTAACTACTCCATAAGTGACATGGGCTGTTTGCCCTCCCTGGTTTACCTCTTGCTTGAGGTCCTCCTGCTCCTTAACCCTGTTAAGACCCATGAATTAGAATAATTCTTTTTCAGACTTTCCCCTTGCTCTTCATTCCTGTTTTTTATTCCTCTTGGCTCCACACCATGCCCTGCTCACTAGCAGTGTTCCTGAGCTTTTAGAAAGGACAGCACTCACAGGCCTGCTGCCCGCCACTGGCTCTGGGACTCCCAGAGTCAACATCCAACTGGTCAGGTCTCACCTGTGCAGGAGGTAGTGGGGATGGAGACTATTGTAAAGAGCTCCTCTTTGTCACACCATGCCTAGAGAGCCCCCCACCCTCCACAAACAGGTGCAGGAATCTGCCTCTGATGCCCTCAGCTGTATGCTGTCCTCCCTCAAAAGCATGGCCAAGATCCCAAATCTGTGCACAAAATGATAACATTTATTGAAAGAGTATTTTTTTTTTTTTTTAATACAAAAGAAAGCTCTGTACATAGTACTGTGATTACTTCCACATCCTTCCAGAAACACAACCCTGGAAACTGGAGGGGAAAAAAAAAATCCCACACACACTTATGCGTACACACGCGCACACACACACACGCACACACACAACCCTCAAACCAGTAAAATGAACTAAAATGTCACCACACAATAAATGCCATTTCATCCCTGATACACAAGTGTTCTTACAAGTCTGTACTTAAATAAAATACACCATTAGCGTTTAACCAGCAGTTGCCTTTGGGGAACCAGGGAGGGGATGCAGCCAGACACCCTGCAGCAGCAGGGGCACTCCTGCCATCCCAGCCCAACCGCTCTGCTCCGCAGCACTAGCACAAGCAAAGCAGAGTAAAGCCAGGCCACAGTGATGTGCTGGGGCAAAGGACAATGCAAACCCCAACCCCATCCTCCTCCCTGGATGAACTCCTAGCTACCCAGCCTTGTTTTGGAAGCATCACTGAGCAACTTTCATAGACCTAGCAATGGGGTATGGCACAGCACTCCCACATGCTCTGAGTTGCAGGGTATAAATCATTCTTAGAGCAAGGATACCAAGGGGAGGCAGCACAAAACGTAACTCCCACCAGAGGGGCCACCCCATTCCCTAGAGCCCTTTCCAGGCTGCCTAACAGGCTCTTTGCACAGGCGGCTTAGATGGGACCTGTCTGCATCTGTACATTAAGGAACAGCTATATAGGAGGAACTACAGCCCAGATCGTCAGCTAGGTGTTGCTACCTGCACAGTGAGCAGGGAGAGCAGGGACCAGCCACACCACTGCTGGCCACTCACCTCCCAGGGAGGAGTGGGGATGCCCATATCCCTTAGGCAGTCACAGGTAGCACTGCTCCACACCAAGAGCGGTGTCGGAACAGCTGCAGGTCCCAGGACTAGAGGTGAACAGGACAGCCACAAGAAAACCCAGCCCAACTCTGGCTCCTGGGCACACTGCAAGCCCCCTTGCTCTCAAGGGATGGGTTTCCCACTTCTACACCAGCCACTTCTTCACTTGCCTTCTGCCCGTTAAGCCCAAAATGATAAGTATGGAGTCCTCGGTACAGCTAAGTGGAAAACAAGCATCCCACAGGTCCACCCCAGCCACTTCTTCACTTGCCTTCTGCCCGTTAAGCCCAAAATGATAAGTATGGAGTCCTCGGTACAGCTAAGTGGAAAACAAGCATCCCACAGGGTGAAGCTTGATCCCTGGCACATGCTGGTGGGTGAAGAGCACAGCTTAAACGCTAATGCTGAGGGAACATGTCCAAGGTTACAATACAAACTCAAAAGCAAGGCCCCTTTCCTGCCTCCATGCCCCCCCACCCCTCTCCCATCCCCCTGGTACAAACCCCATGAAAACTGTACAGGAGCCAAACTTTTATTCCTCAAAGAATTACATAAATACTGAGTTTAACACTTAGAAAAATAAAGTAATTTTCTTTTTTTTTTTCTTTTTTTTTTTTTTCTCCAAGGCTTCTTTTGTCTTTAACTTAAA